TGTGAGAGTTCTAGAGTGTTCGGAGAAGTTTTTAGAACATAAATGTGATTTCTAGAGTGTTCAAGGTAGTTTTTAGAACATCAATGTGTGATTTCTAGAGTTCTCGGAGTAGTTTTTAGAACATCAATGTGTGAGTTCTAGAGTGTCCGGAGTAGTTTTTAGAACATCAATATGCCATTTCTAGAGTGTTCGGAGTAGTTTTTTGCACACCCCCATGTGATTTCTAGAGGGTTTTGAAATTTTTTTTTAACATGTTGCTGTGCAATGGTTATGGTGCTCTAAGTAGTTTTTTTGCACGTTACTATGCTTTTTGTAGGGTGTTCTGATTTATTTTTAGCATGTTGTTATGCGATTTCTAGGAAGTTCTGAGTAGTTTAACAACACATTGAACATACATGCTAAATAACACACTTGACCAGCGACAACAGTGTCTAATCAAACAATCTGTCAACAGAGCTGCAGCTATAGTAGCTTACGTTAGCTGCCTCCATTGGGTCTATTAACATTAATCAGCTATTAGCGGCGCTTACAGAATGACGCCGTAATGTTTCACTGCTCCTGAGAGCTGCACTTACTGCTGATTAATAACTGAATGATGGAAGAATGATAAGCAGGAAGACCACTAATGTGTGCAATAGATGTGAATTCAGGAATTAGCAGTCAAAGCTAATTTTCCTATGTTTGCAAACAATTTTGCACACAATATGTGAAAAAAATGGTTTATAACACTATAAAAGTAAATGGTTCTATTTAGTCTGTTTCTGTTCCCTTCTTAAAGCTAAATTTCCATTTTCTTTCTGAATGTACCACCAGAAATAGAAAGCAGAGCGAGTTTGTCTTCAGATACGAGCTGAAATGTTAATTAAATTTGCGGGGTGTAATTAGAGGGCCCCATATTCTGACTGAATAATCACGTAGCCTCGGGAGCCGAATGCAACTAATGGATGAAGGAGCAATTATGCAAATTACCGTCATTTCAAATTAACTGCTAGATAAAACAGTTTTAATCAAAATACAGTGACACCAGAGGTATCTAGAAGATTCAAAATCAGGATTCTTCCGCAGGTCTCTTGGGAAGAGACACCATTTCTCAGAAGCATGGGCTTGCTGCTGCACATTTGTCCTCTTTCTTTCATTTTCTCTCTTGATTCTGGCACGCAGCGAGGGTTGAAACAGATTGTAATGGGTTGTGCTTTAATGTGCGTGGAAATCAGCCTTAGACACTTACACTAGTGGACACACAGACA